TGCACGTGAAAGCAGCAGCTGCTCCAGACAGGTTAATTATAAGTAGCTATGTGACAAAAACGCCGTATGGCTGCGTTATGTGGTTTTGTCGGTGTTTACGAGCGCTAATCGTCCAAATTCGCAGTGAGTGAGAGTACTGAGAGGCTGGACTGACAAATGAATGATTTTATTTCTAGCGTCGACGGCTGCAAGTCATGAGTAAGCCACCTGATAGTTTGTCTCGGCAGTGATTTGTATTAATGACATGCTTGTTTGTGCCAGTTCACCTCAGTGATTGTGTTGTCCTGCACCTTTTTCTCACTCCTCCAGGACACTCATGCTGTGGTGATGGTGAATTAATATCTAAAGACTACCTGATGACAAGACCAGACCCAGAGCCTGCCTTTATCACCTGCTGTCATCAAACAAATGCAACCTCTTAAAACACACTAGCTCTGCAACTCAGCATATTTCTTGCCTTATTGTTACTTTTCCACTGTACCAGCAAATCCTCAAGCATTATCTACCTGCTCACACTTGCCCAGGTGCTTCCACTGGCTGTGAAAAGCCCCTCCATAGGTTTTTCTTACTCTAGAGAGCCTCTATTCCCAAATGATGCGGACAGACAGCAAGGGCCGAAGCGCCTCCCCTCACAGGATAACCTACAAGTCTGACTTTCATGCCATCAAATGCTCATTTGACACTGCGACCAGTCTACAAACAGGGACCAAAGCTGCTGCTGCTGCCAATCGCTCTGCTGTCCACCCAACCACGCTGCCATCCAGCCTGTCAGATCCCAAAATGTCCCACACCAGCACCAGTGCCAGCACAGGCAGCAGAGGGAGGGTCCACAGCACCAGGGGGACCAAGATCAGAGACAACATCTTCCTGCAAATGGACAACCAGCAGCTGAAACAAGATGGTGTCCCAGTGCAGAGTTATGGCTCCACACCCCTTCTTTCTCCTTACAATCCCAGCCCACAGCTCCAGACTTCACCTTTCTGCACATCAAGGCGTTCAGTCGTCAGCTCCTTGTCTGTTCTGAGCGCTGCAGCCAGCATGTCTGTTCCAGAATCTTCTGTGCTAGATAAACCATCCAGATCAGAGGAGATAGCAGATATTGACAGAGCTGCTCTGGCTCAGAAGTTCTCTGTAACCCGGAGGTTGTTTGAGACCAAGATGATGGAAGTCGGAAGTGGTGGAGGACAGATTTCTAAAGGTGTTGCTAGCAGGGGAAGCAAGGGGATGACGGATGGGAAAGGAGATGGGGAAGAGGGAATAGGAAGAGTCAGCCAAGTCGAAAAAGAGGAAGATGGAAGTGGGAAAATGAATCACGCAGAGGAGGACAGCTTTGATAAAGACAAATCCATAAACCCACCCATCATAAATATTTCCTCTCCAAAGCCTCCTGCACAGGCCTCGCCGACAAGGCACCCTAAATCTCCTGTATCACATGGCCATAGTGAATCATCCAACAAATCTCCCTCCTATCTCGACACACATGGTCAAACCACAGCATCACAAACAGAGGGAGAAAGAACAGCAACTCTTGACCTCTACTTGACCCCTGAGGAGCCAGTGAGGGCAGAACTAGTTGACGTAAAGAATGGGTCGTCAGAAAGCGATGAGAATGAGGAAGAAAAGGAGCGGAGAGAGGATAAAAACTGGCTGAAGGATAAGGGAGGGAAGAATAAAGCTGCAGGACAAAGTGTTCAGGAGCTAATGGATGATGTTTTTGAGGAGCCCAGCGTGGAAACACCATTAGCTTGTGCGCTGGAAAACAGAGTATGTGCCATAGAGGGTGGGCCAGAAGAGCACCAGAAGGAGTTATCAGCCAGCACGTCATGTAAAAGTGAGACTAACAATGACAGGGAGGGTGGAAGAGACAAGTATCAGCAGGTGAATGAAGAATGGGAGGGTGAAAGGGAGGAGCAGAAGAGACAGTTCATGGCATGCACCGAGAAGTCAACAGATAAGGGGGACCACGGGGAGAAAAAGCCTGTTGCAGGAGTGGAAGAAAGTCCTGGAAGGACAAAAAGGGGCATGATGCAAGAGGAGGATGACAAGGAAGTTGAGACATTCAGTGTGGGGAAGAGAAAAGGTGGAGAAGAATGCAAACAAAGTCAAGACGAGAAGGTGAAAGCCGAGAAAGAAGGCTCAACATCTGAGCTGCAAGAAGTCAAGCATGAGGAACGCAGGGAAGGCACTGATGGAAAAGATGATACAGGAGGGGGCAAAGAGGACCAGACAGGACCTGCAGTTGTCTGTGGGATCGAGAACGAGGCCTTTGTATATGAGCAGGAATCCCAGTCTCAGCAGGAAAATTCTGCACATGGAAATCAGCCTTTATTGGGGTGTGAGGAGATCCCTGGTGTGCCTGAACTGTCCGATGAGGAGGATGCAGCAGAGGTTGCAAAGAGAAAGGTCAAGTTCTCCTCAGCACCAATCAAGGTAAGGAAACCTTTAAAGGAAAACGACACAAATTCAGGCTCTCTGCATTTTTTTATTCATTTAACTGACAGCCGCAGGGTCACTTGTCTTTAAATCCATGCTTTTACAGAAGCTCTTTATTGTAGATTTGTGTGACTGTCAGTTCCAGCTGGAGTTTGAATCCATATAAGAGAAGTGTTAGCCCAAAGCCATGTATCTAATCCATTAGAGGAGGAGTAAAAGGCAAGATCCCACATGCTTCATTCTGTCAGCGCTCAGCTCAGAGGTGCCTCGATATAAAAGCACAGAAACATTCCTGTGGGTGTGAATGGCATTAATCTGGCTCACATCATCAGAAACTTTAGAAGTAGCGGTCAGTGTAGGATCAGTAACTGGCATGTGGAAGTTGTGTGTGTACATTGAGATTTTTTCCTTTATATATGATTATGCTTGTACAGTTTGCTGAAGTCTCCGCACTTCCTGATTCTCTCTCTGACTCTCACACTCTGACAGATTTGCCAACATAAACAGCATCTTGTTGTGTCAATAGCTGCAGATGGTTTGCTTTACAGTGCGCTCTGTGGTGAACACATGTACGCGCTGTCAGTGCATGAAACAGTATTTTCAGCAGAGCTACATCTGACATAAGTGTTAACATAAGCTGAAGCTGTACCAGTGACTAGGAATAGTTTGGATTTTTTTGAAGCGGGATTGTATGAGGTTCATATCTATAGTCGGGGTATTACCTGCAGCAGGTGGTGGTCAACACGCCCCCAGTTTGGAGAAGCAGGCAGGGGTACAAGGCTGCAGAAGCTAAGCAATGCACTGCTGTGTACAGGGGCAGCAGCACCACCGTACTTAAGACACCTAAAAAAAAAATAAAAAAATCAGTATCCGTGTACGCTATATTTAGGATATTTCCACCACTTTTCCTTGCCGCAGACAGCTCTTCCTGATGGGGAACTGAATCCATTAATGCTCTCTTTAAAGCCACCAGACTTAATCGACAAAAACAGTAATTTTACCTTGCAGAATACGGGAGCTTCTGGTCTGCCACTGCCTCAATCAGTTAGTTTGTCTTATTGTGTGACTTTGGTGATTCCAAACCAACGCCTTGAACACACCAAGCCGACAATAACACAAACTAACCGATCAAGGTGGTGGGAGACCAGCAGCTGTCATGTTCTGCAAAGTAAAATTACTGGGTGCCTTCGGAATCGCATACTTTCTCTTTTTACTTTTAGTAGGTACTGCAGCTGCCCTTGAAAAGTACGTACTGTTGCATGCGGTATACACACAATTGGGACATGCTACTTTCTCATAACATTATGCCTTGAACTTTGACCCTCTTGTGTTATCACTTACTTGAGTGCAGTTGAATGTTATCCGTCATTGCGACTTCTGCCAGCTGTCAATCAACTTTCATCTCTTTGCGGGTACTGGAACGCACAGAATGTTGTCAAAGGAGGGCTTCAATAATGACTTCAGTTCCCTGTCTATAAGGGCTGTCTGACAGCAAGGTGAGGTGGTGAAAATATTCTGGATAAAGCATACACTTAAAACTGATATCGATTTCTTTAGGTGACTAAAATACATTTTATTGTTGCCACCATCCACAGCAGTATATTGCTGAGCTTCAGTGTCAGTACTCCTGCCTGCTTCTCCAAAGTGGGGACACACCGATCATCATCTACTGTAGGAAATACACTG